ACTTCGGACTCAGAAGCTCTGCCCTCTCCCTCCTGTGTGTGCGCATGTGCACACGTGGGTGTGTGCACATGGGGGTGTGTGCACACGGGGTGCACGTGCGTGTATGTGTGCGTGTGTAAGAGGCCATAGTCCTCCCTGTCTCCCTCTCTGCACAGACACCGAGATACCTGCACCCACCTCCTCCCGGCCTCGGGCCCCCCACTCAGGGCCTTACCTGGAGTCGGCGCCCATCTTGGGAAATGCAGACCCTTGGCACTGAGCAGACCACAGGAGGGACCGGCACCACCGAATTTGAAGCCAACCACTGGAAGATGGGGCTGTTTGTTTGCATGGCACGCATTCAGCTCCAACTGTTTTATCCACCCCCTGAGCCAACCCCAGACTTCTCAATTGGTCCTGCCGGCACCAAGAGGCCAGATTGGCGGCACGCACGCACCCTCACCAAAGCCCTATACAGACTTCCAATTATCTTTTAATTTCGCTCCTGTCTTCATTTATTCATTTCACTTTTTCCAAACAGACTGGGGTGGGGGAGGGGGTGGGGAGCTGTAATTTCTGGAGCTTGAAGCCTGCTAGTGGGAGTGTGGCGTTCACCGGCAGGATGGGATCAGACCTCAGGAGAGAGCTGGAAGCTCACTCCCAACTGCCCCGCAGGGGATCTTACCTCCTCTTAGAGGCCCCGAAGTCCTTGTTCTTTTGTCTTCCGGGCTTCTGACTGTCTAGTAGCTATATGCTCTGATTTTCTGTATGGTGGACAGGCTACAGCGAACACCCAGGATTAGCTAGTTCCTAGAGGCAACAAATGACTCACCCAGGAGCGCCCCCTTTCATATGCAAATGAACCCATCCAAAGGGGAGCCACAACCACCTGCTTTATCAGACTCTCCTGGGGCTCTCCTACACCAGGGCCAATATTCCCCTGTCCCAGTGACTCTAGGACCAGGTAGGAGACAAAGAAAGACAGTGCTGGGGCCCCCTGAAATTATTCAAACTAGCTGATCCTAAATCTATTCACCTTGCCTTGTCCACTCCTTCCCATGAAAAACCACAATCAGGGGCGCCTGGGTGGCTCAGTCGTTAAGCGTCTGCCTTCGGCTCAGGTCATGATCCCAGGGTCCTGGGTTCGAGCCCCATATCGGGCTCCCTGCTCTGCAGGAGGCCTGCTTCTCCCTCTCTCCCTCTCCGTGCTTGTGTTTTCTCTCTCGCTGTGTCTCTCTCTGTCAAATAAATAAAATCTTAAAAAAAAAAAAAAAGAAAGAAAGAAAAGAAAAGAAAAACCACAATCACACTGCCATTCTGTCCTCTGGCTCCATCTGCCTCTTTCCTGACCCCAGTGCCTCCCCATGAGGCCCTGCATGGTGTGGCGTGGGGGACCCTCTTGGGAACTGTAACAACTCTCTTTTCTACGGCAGGTGTCTCGCAGAATAGAGGGTGCACAGCAGGAAGCCTCACTGAATGGGGGCTCCTCTGGCCTCGGCTGTTTCGGCAGGTGTTTCGGCAGGTGTTACTCCGGCCCTCCCACAAGGGAAGGTCACAGGAAATGCCACACCAGGAGTCAAATCAGTGCCATCTAACTCACACACACCCCCACATACACTGCCTGCACCTGCCCCAAGCCCCAATCTGGAGATGTCCAGACACCGTCACGTCTGTCAGGCCTCCATGTGCTCAGACCTGTGATTTCTCTTCTCTTGGCCTTCCCTGTTCGGGCCACATCCATGCTCTGTGTTATCCCCGTGCACTCTCCCACGGAAACCCTTGCCAACGAGCATCATCACTCCCCACCGACCTCCTGCTCGGCGGTGTCTTCCTGAGGTGGCAGTCTGCCAAGGTGCCAGGGCCACGTGTGTCTCTGTAACCTGTTGCTGCACCAGCAAGGGGCGTGGTACATGGTGAGCATCTGGTGAATATTTGTTCAATCAATCCATCCACACCTCCCTCCTTCCTTTATCAATACTTGATGCTAAACACCTCTTTCTGGAATAGTCTTTTGACCTCTCTTCTGATGCCCTTCACTCTAGTCTCCCTGGCCGTCCACTGGGCTGTGGTACTTTGTCAATAAGCACCTGTTGACAAATCACCTCATTAATTTTTCCTCCGTGATCCCTTTTGGCTTGATCATATCTCGGGTGCATGTGCCATCATATGAATCAGGATATAGGTTCTCTCAGGGCTGGGACTGTGTGTCTTCTGCTCCCAGCCACCCCTGCTCCCACACCATGCCCCTGCCACCCCAGGGGACTGGTTTGGCCACACCCAGGGCCTGGGAGCAAGTTTCCAAAGGGAAAGAGTGATTGTCTGACTCAAAGGGTTTACACTGGAGCCACAAAGAAAGTAGCTCCTGGTGCAGTGGAGTCTTTACTGGGTGGGAAGCAGCATGCCCAAGGGGCTGACACCCTGTTCACTCAGTGGCATCTGAGAGGACAATGCCAGGTCACAGCATTGTCACCAAACAGGCATGCCATAAGTCTTCCCCTTTCCAAGGGTGTGGGAGTCCCAAAGCTGCCCCTACCACCAAAATGGTAACTTGGCCAGTGGGGGACCCCCAAAGACCTGGATTTACCATTGGACAAATCACTTCTATTACCTTTTATCCCTTTATACCTCGTCCTCCCCTTCCCAGAGGAAGAGGAATGATCCATGCAGCCAGAGAGACCTGGTCATACATCAAGACTCTGCCATTCACAATCTACATGACATTGGCGGATCCCTCTGAGCCTGTGTCCTCACCTGTAGAATGAGTGTTATGACAGCACCTACCTCCCCAGATTACGGGAAGATGGAACGATTTTACTTACGCAAAGTACCCAGGACCTCACTCCCCCCATTTCCTGTTATTCGTCCTGATGAAACAAGGTGCTCACCCACCGCCTCGGCGTGAAGAGGAATTCTCAGCAGACAAATAGCAAAGCTCACTTACTTTTTAATTCCTAGACCCATGGAAGTCTCCAAGGTGATTGTCAAACCTAGGGATTTCCTGGGAGATACTACAAACTTACTGAATCAGAAAGTCTGAGGAGCAGAGAGGGGAAGAATGAAGGGGGGGAAATCGGAGGGCGAGACGAACCATGAGAGACGATGGACTCTGAAAAACAAACTGGGGGTTCTAGAGGGGAGGGGAGTAGGGGGATGGGTTAGCCTGGTGATGGGTATTAAGGAGGGCACGTTCTGCATGGAGCACTGGGTGTTATACACAAACAATGAATCATGGAACACTACATCAAAAACTAATGATGTAATGTATGGTGATTAAAATAACATAATAAAAAAATAGAAAGAAAATATTAAAAAAAAAAAAGAAAGTCTTCTTTAGACTTTCAGCAGAGCTTGGAAATGTGCATTTCTGACAAGCACCCCAGGGCTCCGGTGCCTGTTATCTTCAGAATCACTATCTTGACCATGAGGGAAAGAAAAGGGGGGACCCCGCTGCCGGTTGCCCCCGGAACAAGCTATAGAAGGCTGTCTCCCGGGGAACCATATACCTGGTGGGTGAAGTCAGGTCTGCAAAACTCTGGACTCTGGAAACAGGGATACAAGTCCCCAGTTACAAGCCAACTGACATGAGCTTGGAGCTGCCATAAAAATAGGAGGTGACAATTGCATCTCTCCTGAACGGGATGGTGGGCATCAGATGAGATTCATCCAGAGTGTCCCCCTCCATCCTACCCCTGGAAAGGCACAGAACATGCTGGTAGTTGTCCCCGCTGTGCTCGGCCCCATTCAGGCCAAGGGATCAGAGTCTCCAACACAGGGGGATCAGGCAGTGCTGGACCTGCCTGCCGGGCACATCAGCCACTTTACCTGCTGGCCCCAAAGGCAGCCCTGCCCTGACCTCTGGGTGCCCTGAGAGGACCTTGGTCTAGGGAGGGGCAGAATTGAATCTGTGCTTCAGGTCCAGCTGGTGACAATTCATATGAATGATAATGACCCCCAGGAGGAGGAGGAGGAGGAGGAGGAAGAGGAGAGGAAGAAGAATGGGTGATATTTCGTGAGCTTTCACAAGGTGGAGCTCAGCACTCTGGGCTGTACGCACACCAACCACAACCTTATGAGGTGCGTGTGCTGTTATCCCCCGTTTACAGATGAAGGAACTTAGGCACAGAGAGGGGAAGTCACTTGCCTAAGGTCACACAGCTGGCAAGGGGCAGAGCCAGGTAGTCAGTCTGGATCTGGAACCCACAGCACTGGTGAGATGGGGGCGGGTGAATCTCCCTTGCCTCTCACCAGAGGACGTTGTCTGTTTTGGAGGGCAAGGATGTGCCCCACGTCTCTCCCTGATCTGGGCACTAACACCTGGTGCTTTCCCCATCTGCCTTCAGGAGGACCAGAGGGAGGGCAGAGGCATTCAAAGCCGGGTCAGGTGGCTTGGCTGCAGTCCGGGGCTCAGCTGTCCCTGCTGCTAATTGTGGACCTCCCCGCCCGGACCAGCAGACCCCATCGGGAAGGAAACAGACAGGGAGACCCTCAAGCCACACCTGCCACAGCTCCACCCGTCTCACAGTTCACCACACCCACAGTCCTAGCCCAGTGGATTTGCAAAAGAGAAAATAAAACACACACACAAATAATAACCAACCCCGTGCGTTTCCTGGAATCGGATGACTGTGTGGTCAAGAGCTTCCTCCCTCTTTGTGTGCATGCCGGACACGGCTAACATCCTCCAGCAGCTGCTGGTTCAGGTGGCTGATCACAAGCTCAGCCCTGGAGCACAACCCCCACCCCCACCCCCAGGAAAAGCATCGAAGGATCCGGGGAGGGCAGCGCCGAGATCTGCTGGCCCTGAGCCCCAGTGGCCACCATCTGCCAGCTCAAGGTCACCTTGGCTCCGACTCCCCCAGCTGACCGGCCCCTGGCTGGCCAGAGCCAGCCCAGAACCCCCTCCAGCTCCGCTCCGCAGGAACCAGGAACCGGCCCCTATTGGACAATCATTAATCGGATTCTTGACATTCTTCAGTCCCAGGGCGGCTTTGGGAAGCATGCTCCCCGGAAGAGGAGGAGTGGAGGCCCAGGACTGGCATTTGGACATGCAGCTGACAGGCAAGGCGGTGCTGTCCGCCGCTGCCCTGCTCCTGGTGACCATGGCCTACAGGCTGTACAAGTCGAGGCCTGGCCAGGCCCCACGGTGGGGCAGGAACGCCAAGGCTGAGGCCAATGAGGAGGCCGAGGACTCCGGGCAGCCTGCAGTCCAGGGGGCTGCCCCCGGGGCGCCGCACTGGGCGCTGAGACGCCGGAGGGCAAGCAAGGAGACCAGAGAGGCGCCAGGCCGTGGCTGGGAGAATCAGGGCGACTCCCAAGTCCTGGCAACGGGACGCTCTCCCAAAGACTCAGAAGCCCAAGAGGCTCGGGAGCCCGCGGAGAAAGGCGCTGGTGAGGAAGGGGGTGGGCGGCACCCGGACTCTGAGCTGGCGCCTCCTGGCTGCAGTGGCTGGGAAGCCGGGACAGCTACTGGCCCTACGCCCGAGCGGCCCCACCACCCCCATTTGGGCAGCGAGTCCCAGAGCTCCCACGCTGGCCTCGCCACAGCAGCCGGCTGCAGTGAGGGCGGCGAGCCTGCCCTGTGGCTGGACAGGGCCCCCCCGGGGCAGCCAGGGCCCCGGGAGCAGGAGGCCGCTCCCACCGACTGGATGGCCCACGTGGAAGACAAGAGCGACGTGAGCAAGAGCTGGGTCTTCACCCGCGTGACGGGGGTCCACAGGGAAGAGGCCAGGGCCCTCCAGGCCGCCATGGACATGGGCCTGACCCTGCCTCGGCAGGAGGGAGCTTCCAGCACCTCCTACATCTACTCATCGGTGGCCAGGGTTTGCGTGGAGGAGAATTTCCTACAGGACAAGGGGGAGGCGGCCAGGCCCAGGCTGAAGGGCAAGGTGTACGATTACTATGTGGAATCCACCTCCCGAGCCACCTCCAAGGGCAGGCTGGCCCCCAGAACAGCTGCCCTGGCTGAGTGTCCAGCCCCCGTGCCACCACCAGGCCCCCCGGGAACAGGGGCAGCTTCAGGAGGCCAAGCCGCTGACCAGGAAGGTGGAACCGAGACACCCACCTGCCCCCAGCCTGTGCCGTCGCCCTCCACCCAAGGCTTCGGCAGGAAGGACAGCCTCCTCCAGATCCTGGAGAACCCAGAGCTCCAGCTGCAGCTCGATGGCTTTGGGGCCCCCACTCCATCCTGCCCAGACGGGAGTGCCCTGCCTGGCCGCCCCCTCCCCGGGGCTCCTCTCGGGGCCAGCCCCGCCGGAAGCAGCGGGGAGCCCCACATGCAGCTGGTGGCGGGGACCAATTTTGTCCACCTCCCACCGGCCCCTGGCTCCGCCCCAGGCGTCCACCTGGATCTGGGCAACTGCTACCAGGTCCTGACCTTGGCCAAGAGGCAGAAGCTGGAGGCGCTGCAGGAGGCAGCCTACAAGGTGATGAGTGACAACTACCTTCAGGTCCTGCGCAGCCCAGATGTCTATGGGTGCCTGAGCGGGACCGAGCGGGAGCTGATCCTCCGGCGCCGGCTGCGGGGCCGCAAGCACCTGGTGGTGGCCGATGTGTGCCCCCAGGAGGGCTCCGGCCGCCTCTGTTGCTATGATGAGGAGCGGGACGCCTGGCACCCGCTGGTCCATCTGCCCCCCGAGGCTGTGTCCCGAGGCTGTGCCCTCTGCAGTCTCTTCAACTACCTCTTCGTGGTGTCTGGCTGCCAGGGGCCTGGGCAGCAGCCCTCCAACCGCGTCTTCTGCTACAACCCGCTGACGGGGATCTGGAGCGAGGTGTGCCCGCTGAACCAGCCCCGGCCGCACTGCCGGCTGGTGGCCCTGGACGGCCACCTGTATGCCATCGGGGGCGAGTGTCTGAACACGGTGGAATGCTATGACCCCCGCCTGGACCGCTGGACCTCCGTCCCACCACTCCCCGGCGACACGTTCGCCCTGGCACACATGGCCGCGGCATGCGCCGGTGAGATCTTCGTCACGGGTGGCACCCTGCGCTACTTGCTACTCCGATTCTCCGTCCGGGAGCAGCGCTGGCAGGCCGGCCCCACGGGGGGCGGCAAAGACCGCACGGCCGAGATGGTGGCGGTCAACGGCTTCCTCTACCGGTTTGATTTCAATCGCAGCCTGGGCATCAGCGTGTACCGCTGCAGCGCCAGCGCCCGCCTCTGGTACGAGTGCGCCAGGGACCGGACACCGTACCCCGACGCCTTCCAGTGCGCCGTGGTGGGGGACCTCATCTACTGCGTGGGGCGCCGGCGCACACTCTGCTTCCTGGCCGACCACGTCTCGCCCAGGTTTGTGCCCAAGGAGCTGCGGAGCTTCCCCTCCCCGCGGGGCACCCTCCTGCCCACCGTCCTGACCCTGCCCGTCCCTGATGTGCCTCAGACCAGGGTCTAGCTACCCACTCTGCCGGACTTGTCCTGCAAAACCGGGAAGCAAAGGGCACCCCCTGCCCGCCACTCTGTGAGCCATTTCTAGGAGAGCAGGCAGTTCAGGCATTTGGCCAGCAAGAGGTGAATTCTAACCCTACCCCCCCTCCCCCGCGGACCGGGGCCCTCAGATGCGTCTTTGCTGTCAGTGGGATGCAGAGATAGAACCAGGGACCGGTGCCCCGAGGCTGGGGACAGCCACGCACATGTGCAGGGGTGAGTGCCACCTTGCTTCAAACCTGAATTCTTGGCGGAAGGGATGTCGGGGTCCCGCCAAAGTTCGGGGGCACAGCCTCATCCCAAGCACAGTTCCCAGTGCCGGTTGACCCACAATAACCCCTCAAGCCGACCCCACTGGAGGTGGGCCAGCTCTCTATAGGCCACCAGGGCCGCTTCCTAAACACTGGCCACTGAGCCCTTACCTCCAGGGTTCCCAAGGAGCACCAGGGACACAAAAGGAGGTGGTTCCGGCCGTGCCAAGAGCCCTGGGGAGCCGCCAGGGGCCTGGCCAGAGGAGAGATGGTCGGAGAAGTAGATCAGCGACAGTTGGTGCTGCCCATGGGACTCTTGCCTGCGGAGCAAATTGACCATTACCCACTTCACTTGTTCTCATTACCTAGAATTCTAGTATACTAGGAGGAGAAGCCTCCAATTAGCAGCCATTTGAAAACATACATCCTGTAGTGGTCCACAAAGAAGAGCCCCAGTGATCCCACATCTGAGGTCTCAGGAGAGAGAGGAGTAGGTGCGATCTGTAGGCGCCCGTCCTCCTGGGCTCCCCCGCTTGGGCCCATTGCTACCTGACCACTGACTTCCTCCCCAGAGCTCAGAGCCTGCACGATACAGCACCCGTCCGAACAACACAGCCCTCACCTCGGGGAGCAGGGCAGGGCAGACACTGCCAGGCACCCCTCCCGGTCTGCTGAGAGACGTTGGCATAATTTCTGCTCCCTGTGCCCTGTGGTCACCTGGTCTGCCAGGTCAGACAGGAGAGGAGGGAGGGGCAGGTTCATGAAGGAGCTGATTAACTGGAAAATCACACAGGACACTGGGACCAGCTCTCACATCAGAGTTGGTAAATTTGGAAAGGGCAGAGACCCCCCAACCTCAGGATGTTGCCCATTCTTCCTGGAGGGGAGGGAGAGAGACCGGACCGATCTATTGCCGAAGCCCTGTTGTCTCGCTGAGGAGGATGCATACACAGATAGAAGGGCAGTGATGTTCCCGGTGTCAGCCGGAAGCCAGGGCAGCTGGGACCACTTCTAAAGTGACAGGCAGCCTGGAGGAAAGAAGTAGAGATACGGGTGCACCAGGGCAGGCCTGACAAGCGGGGAGCTAAGGATGCTTTGGATTTCAGCGTTCCTACCTCGAAATGGGAAGGACAGTTCATGGCCTTCTCTGCCAGAGAAATGAGAACACCTGAAGAAAGTCCTTCCCGAATTCCCTTGGGGATCTGGACAGGAGCTCGTGTTCACTGCAGCTGCTGGGGCTGAGCCAGGGTCTTCCTGGAAAATGCACGATTAGAACAAGAAATAACAGGATGGAGATGAGAACTTACATTGGGCCCCTCAAAGCCACCGTCCCCATTCTAGGGCCTGGAAGGTGAGGCTGCCTAGTTGATTCCTAAGTTGGAGCCTGGTGACCCCCCCCCATCCCCTGCCAAGGCCATGCTCAAGCTCAGAGCCAACACTCAGACATGAGCCTCCAAGGGACCCTTGGTGGGGAAGTGGGGGTAACTCAGCAACATGACTGAGAGGCAGCATGGGCATCATGATGCCAGGCTGGGGGTTGCTTGGAAGGTGAACCCCATCTGGGAGCTGGGGGCTGATGAAGCCAGATCCAGCCCCCAAGGGCAAGCCTCCAGCAAATAGCCAGGCAATGGACTAGACCACAACCAAGCAGGGAGGCCCTGGGGGAGGGCTCCAAGCCCAGGGTGACCTAGAGATCACTCCAGGAAACTTGTCAGAGCTCCGTTGCCTGGGGCATGGTCCCATGGTCAGGACCAGGGAAACCGCAGCGTTTGTTCCTGACCCACTGATGGTGGGTGTGCTCTTCATGATGAAGGGAGGGCTGAGAGGGTAGTACGGGGCCCATCTCATCTACATTCCTGGGGTCCTGTGCAGACATCACTCATCGATCGCCTTATCTTTTCCCATTAAGCCTCAGAACCCAGAACACCGGGCCCTAGGCAGTCACCACTGATATATGAGAGCTGGTGTGTTTCTCATCACCGGCCTGGGTCTAGAGCTAGCCTTAGGGAAGTGAGTGTTCAGGACCATCATGGTAGAGCAAGGCAGTTCAGGGAGACTGCAAAGACCACCTGGATTCATTCACAGAACATTTAGGCTGGGCACTGTTCCGGGTGCTGGGAACGCAGCAGGTCCCTGCCCTAACAGAGCACACGTTCTGCTGGAGGACAACGGGCAATTTCTATAAACAAACCCGTAAACAGATGAATGGAACCCACGCTGCATACGTACAAGGAAGGCAGAGGAGGCAAAGAAGTATTATCGTGTGATCAGCCTCCCTGATAAAGAGACAGTGAGCAGAGCCCTGGATGGAAATCCGGGAAATGCATGGATCAGGGCTGGCTCAGGGCACAGGAAGGCTGGCCCTGCCACCAGCCGGGGCTTCGTCACCCCGGCCGGGGAAGGCAGGGCTGCCTGCAAGGAGCTCCACCTCCGAGTGAAGAGGACGGGAACCCAGCTGTCGTGCTCTAGCCACTCACATAAGGGAGCGTTTAGGAAAGAGGCTCCTTGCACGACGGTAAGCTACATCCCCTGGGGAGAAGCAGAGTGCACGCATTTAAGGGGAGAGTCCAGATCGCACACCACCGCCGTGCCTGAGTGTGTGTCTGGGTGTCAGCCTGCCCGTGATCCTCCACAGGGGTCAGAGTCTAGGATTTCCACTTGACCTTGTGGGATAGCCTTGCCCGGCCACCTCGAGCCCTCAGCCTCACGGAGGCCTGTGTGTCCCTTGGCCTCTCCCTGGGTCATCTGTCCTGCTTCCCTGTGAAGAATTTCTTCTTTAAAACAAAATTAGGGGCGCCTGGGTGGCTCAGTTGGTTAAGCGACTGCCTTCGGCTCAGGTCATGATCCTGGAGTCCCGGGATCGAGTCCCACATCGGGCTCCCCGCTCAGCAGGGAGTCTGCTTCTCCCTCTGACCCTCTTCCCTCTCGTGCTCTCTATCTCTCATTCTCTCTCTCAAATAAAATCTTAAAACAAAAAAACAAAAAAACAAAAAAAATAAAATAAAACAAAATTAAAAAACAACTCTTCAGCTTGGGTTGCTTTCCATGTGAGGTCAACCACAGCTTTGTAGGGAAGAAAACTGGAAAATACAAAAGTACAAAAAAATCTCCCCCTTTTCACCACCCAAAGACAACCCCCTCTGCGGTGCACATTCCTCCAGGCTGTGCATCCTTTTCTTGGCTTGATTTTTGCCAACGTGTGATTATGCTGAATGCACAATTCAGCTGCTTTCTTTTTTCACTTAGCTTTTTTAGAATACGCATTTTCCGTGTTGCTACAAACCCTCGGTAAACATCATTTCAGTAGGTGCACAATGTTCCACTGAGTGGCTGTACCACGGTTTATTTAAACAGTCCCCCGTCCTGTCGGGCCTGTAGATTTGTCTTCCCCCCTGCTGGTTTCTTTTTCCATCATAAATAAACAGTCTTTTGTTTTCCTGTTCCTCCCTGTCTGGGGCCTCCATCAATATTTACAAGAGAAGTCCCGTCTAGGGCTTGTCTGGAATACAGGGTTGCTGAAGCAAGCCTAGAAACCACAGCATCTGCCTAGGGCTGGGGCCGGCCCCACTCTGAGTGCGGGGCACGGGGCACGGGGCACAGGAAGGCAAGCCTGCCCAACGGGGCTGTCCCAGGTGCCCTGTGGCGTTGCTGGAGCCAGGATGTAAGGGACAGGCCATGTGTATAGAGCCCCTGTTCGGTGTGGACCAAGCACTGGACTAGATGCTTTCTACACATCACTTCACTGATCCTGACAACAACCCCATTTTACAGGGCACAAAACTGAGGCTCACAATGTTCCAGGAAACTCACCTTCATGCCGAAGTTCAAAGACTCTCAGTTCCCTTCAAAACACTCTTGAACCTGGCCTGCCCACTCTCTACATTTCCATTCCCCTATCATGAAGCCCTGGGGCCAAGGACTTGGCATCAGCCATCCCCTGGGCCGCTCCCAACCCCTCCCCCACTCACACTGATCACATATGCTCTATCCTTGAAATTTGCACTCAACGAAAACAGTCCTCTTTTTTTCCTTAAGATTTATTTATTTATTTTAGAGCAGGGGAGGGGCAGAGGGAAAGGGAGAGAGAGTCTCAAGCAGACTCCACACTGAGCATGGAGCCCCACATGGGGTTTGATCTCATGACCCTGAGATCAGACCTGAGTTGAAATCAAGAGTTGGATGCTTAACCAACTGAGCCACACAGGCACCCCTCAAAGAAAATATTCTTAAACTCTCTGATCCTCAATGTCTGCATCTGTAAAAGGGGCTTGCCACCTCCAGCCTCAAGGTGATGTCACAAGCAAATGTGTGTAAAGAGCCGGGCCCAGGGATGCTCCAAAGTAGGTCTCCTAAGTACCATTGGCTTCTGCAAGGGCCAGCTGGGAGGAGGTCTGCTGGTACTCCCACTCCCCTTTCTCAGCATCCCAGATCCAGAGGAAGGAACATTTAAGCTGCAGGAACCCTGTCTGATTTGGCAAGATTTGGGGTCTTGGGGGGGGAGTGGGGTGGAGCTCACCTTATTCATATTTTACACCATTTGGGTTTTGAGACTCTGAGCCACAGTAGGTGACTTACTGATTGGAGCCTCCGCAGGCTCAGAGCGTTAAGCCTTTTCCCAGCATGTTGGACAGTGAGGAGGAGCTTTAGGAGCTGCTCAGAGCTCCCTGGAAACCTTGAGAAGGTACAAGGGGGAGCAGGCTCCTTTCTTTTACAGGTG